CTGTTCTCCTCAGTGCCAAGGTACAGGTGTGTGTTGGTGTTCCTGTTCCCCTCACTGCCAAGGTAAGGTGTGTGTTGGTGTTCCTGTTCCCCTCAGTGCCGAGGTACAGGTGTGTGTTGGTGTTCCTGTTCCCCTCAGTGCCAAGGTACAGGTGTGTGTTGGTGTTCCCCTCAGTGCCAAGGTACAGGTGTGTGTCAGTGTTCCTGTTCTGCTCAGTGCCAAGGTACAGGTGTGTGTTGGTGTTCCCCTCAGTGCCAAGGTACAGGTGTGTGTTGGTGCTCCTGTTCCCCTCAGTGGCAAGGTACAGGTGTGTGTTGGTGTTCCTGTTCCCCTCAGTGCCAAGGGACAGGTGTGTGTTGGTGTTCTGCTCACTGCCAAGGGACAGGTGTGTGTTGGTGTTCCTGTTCCTCTCAGTGCCAAGGGACAGGTGTGTGTTGGTGTTCTGCTCACTGCCAAGGGACAGGTGTGTGTTGGTGTTCCTGTTCCTCTCACTGCCAAGGTAAAGGTGTGTGTTGTTGTTCCTGTTCCTCTCAGTGGCAAGGTACAGGTGTGTGTTGGTGTTCCTGTTTCCCTCAGTGCCAAGGTACAGGTGTGTGTTGATGTTCCCCTCAGTGCCAAGGTACAGGTGTGTGTTGGTGTTCCCCTCAGTGCCAAGGTACAGGTGTGTGTTGGTGTTCCCCTCAGTACCAAGGTAGAGGTGTGTGTTGGTGTTCCTGTTCCTCTCAGTGCCAAGGTACAGGTGTGTGTTGGTGTTCCCCTCAGTGCCAAGGTACAGGTGTGTGTTGGTGTTCTGCTCAGTGCCAAGGTACAGGTATATGTTGGTATTCCTCTCAGTGCCAAGGTCCAGGTGTGTGCTGGTACCCTGCTCAGTGCCAAGGTACAGGTATATGTTGGTATTCCTCTCAGTGCCAAGGTGTGTGTTGGTGTAGCCACCAATCGAAGGACAGTTGTCTATGTTCTGAGGTCCACTCTGACCAGATTAGGAAGTTATCTCTGTTTCTCTCTCTCTCTCTCTGCACGGATGGGGCCAGAGTTCCTGAATGGCCCCAGCATTCTCTGTGTGGATTCCATGTGTATGTCTGTGCTGCCCCCCCCACCCAGGTACAGGTGTATGTCAATGTTCTCCCAATCCCAGCTGTATCCGTTAAACACCGATTGGAAAATGTCAGTCTCCTCCCCCTGTTAGCGGGTGGCTGGTAGTAATAGAGTTTGCACTAGGTGGCAGCTTGAGTTTAGCTTAGTCTTGTTCAGGTTGTTCCTCTGTCTGCAGCCTTCTGATTTTATTCCGTCTTCTCTGGTGCTGGTTTTCCTATTGCAGAAAGCAGTTTGTGCCTTGGAGCTACATCAGCTAGAAGCGGCAGGTCGGTAAGAAACTTCAGCTGGTCAATTCTAACCGTAACCTTTCTGTTTGTGTTGGTCAAACGGGAAGAGCTGGAGCTGGTGTGAGTTCGCTTGGAGCCGGAGGGTGTATATGAAAAGCGAAAAAATAAAACGTCGAAAAAGGTTGAATGAGGTAATTGGGGAAATTGTCAGCAAGAGTAAAGAGACAACAGCAGAGAGAGTGGGGCAGATAGAATGAGATAGCAGTAGGGAAGGAAATTAAGATGTGTTTACTTTTGTTTAGCTCTTTCTAACTTACATGCGTTGTGAGCAGTTTTCCAGTTGTCTTTATTTAGTTTTAATGCTACGGTAGAGTTGGTTTCCTTTTCAGCACTGTACCTAAAGTTCTGGGAAATTAACTCACCACTGAGCCCTGAGTTGCAATTGTATCTGTAAAGTGTCCCCTTTTTGTTGGAGGAAGTGGAGTTTCCTACTTAATTCCTAAATTAATAGACAGCCTATCTGATTCCCTTTCAACTTGTAGCTTCTACTTCCCCCCCCCACTTCTTAGAAAATTCATACTGTTCCTAATATTGAATTGAAATGATTAGATACAAGAGTTGCCCAAAGGGTGACTACTGTTTTGCAGAGATGGCATACTCTGAAGGCTTATAATTGCTGACTGGTTGAGGAGCAAAAGGCACTTTGCTGTCACCAGATGACATCTCAGATTTGTTCTTCTTTTGGATACTTGCGCATAGAAATAGAGGTGGGGTTTTGTTTTTTTTTGTTTGAAATCCATGATTGAGGCGTCAAGGTAAAAGATCCAAATTCAGGGAAGAGTGGTTCAGCTTTCCCTCTGGAGAGGCGGAAGCTGGTCAAAGGTTCGTGTGTAAAGACTCATCTGAAGATTAAGTGTAAATCTAATCTGGAATATTGATTTTTGGACATCTGAGATCTCAGTTGTCCCAGTTGAGTCCTTCTGAATTGTTGGTAGGTCCTATCTCATGATGAAGACACACTGGTTCACAGTGATGGCCTGACAGAAGATTTATTTTGATGGCTGGGTGTGTAGATGTTTTCTAATTACCCTGTTTAGAGATGTTGTTACACATTGCAGCACAGTGGCCCAGTGGTTAGCACTGCTGCCTCACAGTGCCAGGGACCCACGTTCAATTCCACCCTCAGGTGACTGTGTGGAGTTTGCACATTCTCCATGTGTCTGTGTGGGTTTCCGTCCACAGTCCAAAGATGTGCAGTGGAGCTGGATTGGCCATGGGAAACACAGGGTTATAGGGATGAAGTATGGGTTTGGGGGTGGGTCTGGGTGGGATCTGTTCAGAGGGTTGGTGTGGACTTAATGGGCCAAATAGCCTGCTTTCACACTATAGGGATTCTATGATGCACCTCTGGATCAGGTGGGATTTGAACCTAGGTCATGAACTTGCCATTTTCTGGCACACTCTCCTGTGACTTGGTTTTGAGAGGGGCAGGCAGTTGCCCTATTGGGTGGAGCCAAGTTGTCAGGGACTCAGATTGGCACAGCAGTGACATACAGTCTTGCTCATAATGTGTACAGAATGAGACTAGTCACCCCTTCAAAACTATACCACCACTAAATTCAGTGGTGGCTACTCTATACTTTAATGCTCATGTTCACATTCATTTTAATAATTAATGCAAACCTACTTCACTATTTCATTTTCCTAATACAACACCTGGTACAAATCTAGCACAAAATTTCAGTGCCTCTCTCCCTGTCTCCACCTCTTTAAACAACCTTTATTTGAAAGACATCATCTGATATCCTTAATGGCCTAGCTCTAGAACTTCCTGCTAGCAGAATTTCTTGCTAGGCTTATCAACTTTGACTCCATCAACCCCTTTAATCACTAGCATTTAATTAGATCATCTCAAGTTTCAATGTTCAAGGAATGGTCAAGTTGTGTAATTAAGCCTTTAAGATGTTTTTGTGCCTAGTGCCAACTTAAGCCTGATGTCTGACAAGCTGCTTGTTAGATATTATCGTTTTGTAGGAGTAGATGGAAAGGAGATAAGTGGGGGTTCTTTACATTTACATTGGCTCAAATAATAGCTTGACTGGACAATTGAAGCAAAGTCCATCTAGGTACTGTGACTCTGACTTTTTTTTAAAAGAACAGCTCATAATTAGATCAGATAAGCTGGCAGATGCAAGGAACCAGTTCAGGTGGCCAATTCACTTGGGATCCCTTCATAAACCCTTCTTGGCCCATGCCCCAGTGGTTATCCCACATGAGCAATCATTGGGAAGTGTAGAATTAAAACCAAAAGAACAGCGAATGCTGCAAATCTGGAACAAAAACAAGTTGCTGGAAAAGTTCAGCAGTTCTGGCAGCATCTCTGAAGAAAAATCGGAGTTAACATTTTGGGTCTGGTGACCCTTCCTCAGAACACTTCCATGCTCTGTATTGCCATAATGACTTCTGTTTCACAAAAACTCTGCATTTATATAGTGACTTGCCACATCCCAAATTGCCTGTTGCCCAGGAGGAGTCACCGGACCTGAAATATTAACACTAACTTTTCTTCACAGATGCTGCCAGTCCTGCTGAGCTTTTCCAGCAATGTCTGTTTTAATTCTCTGGTGGGCTGTGTTTGTTAAAATTGCATCAGTATTCTGAAAATTCCAGAGACACTGAAACTCTGAATTATTCTGAGCCACTCTAAATTTGGGTCAAAGCAGTGAAATGTGAGAGAGAGAATTCCGCAACAGACAGGCAAACAGACAATTTAAGGGTCGAAAGATTTAAGATCAATCTCAGTATTTTTTTTCTTCAATGTCAAGGTCTTTGTAAACTAAAAACAACTTTTGGCTAAGACTGCCCATTGTTTTAATTCAAATACTGCACTGTTGAATGGATATTGGCATCCTGACAATGAAATCTTTGTTCTTTTCAACAAGCTCAAATGCAAGAAGCTTTTCCAGACTGTTTTGCCTACCTAGGGTGGGTTGTGTTTTACATGCTAACACGCTGAAGCTCTGGATTGTGCACTAGAATGTGCTGCTTGGCATATGAGCCTATCCTTCACTAGCTCCCAATAGACTAGCAGCATTTGGGTGGAAGAGACAAGATGCTCAATACAGCCTCCAGGGTTGAGCCTGACCACTGTGAGGGAGCTCTGAGCAGTCAGAAATGAAGCATTAAAACAAAGCTCTGCCTGCCTTTTCCAGTTATCCAGATGATCAAAGATTTCAAAGATGACCAGAGTTCTGATGTAGCTACATTTATTCTTCCAATAGCAGATTAATGGGTTGCTCATCTCATTGGTTGAATTTCTACTGAGTAAGCAGCTACTAGCATATTTTTACAAAATCCTTCAAGGGAGCTCACTGAGGAACAGGCAATTTGAGATGTGATAAGTCACTATATAAATGCAGAGTTTTTTTGTGAAACAGAAGTCATCCTGTTAATACAAAGCATGGAAATGTTGCATGTTGCTTTATCAAACATGTTTTCTTTTTTAACCATGATCACGGATCACTGCCAGTTTTATTTGGTGGGGAATTGAGAGGGATTTGATATATTTTGATCGAGCAAAAGTCTGCAGACTTTAGAAACAAGAGAAAATAGTGAATCAGGAAACAGCTTTGCAGGTACATAATCGCTTCTGGGTTTTGGACCTTTTATTGGGATGAACTGTTAATTCAATAATTCATGGTGTGCTCCTGCTCTGAGGGGAATCAAAATGATGATACCTTTGTTTAATGTTGAAGACGTCCAGAATTTAATGTTGATGAGGAAAGAAGACACATGAGGATTGTTTGCCCAAGTGCAATTAGGTTTGCTTTAGTTGGCAAGGAAGATTGAATCCATATCCAAACCGTCTGCTGTTTTTCAGATAATTGTGGATGAGAGATTCTATTCAACTTATTCATTCATGCATCTGTTTGTTCGTTCATTCACTTAGCGATTTTCCTGTATTCAGTACCTAGCTAAGGCTATGCCGGAGAAAACATTCTCTCTCTCCCCCCTGGTAGAGAAAGATAGAGAGAGAGAGAGAGAGATGGAGTTTGCCAGAAGGTTTAATTTGGACAGAATTATCAGCAATTAGTGTTGATGAGCATTTGGATAAGTCATGGAGATGGCAAGTGTGGGTGTGAGGAGACAGGGTTGGCTGTGCCAAGGCAGGGGCTGAGTGTGGAAGAGGCAATGTTCAGGATAAGGAATGAAGACTAGCAAGCTTCTATTGGACCAATCTAGTCAACCTCTAGGAGTAAAACTAATATTTTAGACTTCATCTAACAAGTGATATCAAGCTCCCTGTTTTAATACTTCTCTCCAGACTTTAAATACTATTGAAATCAATGCAAATCTGAAGCGTTAGTTTGGTTGAATTATTATATCCTATTTTTGCACAAACATTTTGTACAATCTAACAACCTTGTGTTTAGTGCTTTGAATGACATAGAAAGTGAGAGGGTAGGAACTCTCTTACAATGGGTTGACGTGGTGGATAGTTAAAACAACCTCCAATAGCCAATCACAAACATGGGTGGAAAGGTATAGAAGATGGCATAAAGCAAGAGGTACTACTTCTACATCATTCAAAGCTCTAACTAACCTACTTCACAATACCCTATGACATGATAGCAAGGGCCATTGTTCACTTAGCCCTATTACAACAAAATCCTTCCATGGATGATCAACTGACTGCTGTGAAGTTAGGCAGAAGGTTACAGCAGGGTCTTGTACTTGATTGTCATCACAATCAGGCAATGCCCCACCAGGCCTCACCCTCTGAACAACACTATATACTGGCCCATTATGGATGACCATGTCCACTATCTCCAATTATCACAGTTGGATTTTAATGTTCCCTCTTGTTACGCTGCTTTTCCTTATCTCTTACCCCATTTTCTTCACCCTTCACCCCCAGCCCTATCCACTCCTCTACTCTGTGGCCCCAGATGATGTCCGTATGAAATACTCTAAAAGCTATTGCATTCAGAGTTAGTGCATTTAAATCCTCCTGCAACAATGATAACTAACTTGTACTCAGAA